CAAGAGAGAACCCCCTGCCTTGGGAGACATGGAACTCATCTGTAAAGAGAGGGAAAGTTCAGCCCCAAAGCATAATATTTTTGCATCTCATCTGATTTCAATTTCTACTGCTGCCTTTAAGTTATTCCGTTTGCTGTTGTGTTTTGAGTGGAGTGGAGACAGCAGGGCGGCAGAGTGAGGGGCTTCTGCAAATATTTGCACACAACCTCAACTGGCTGTTGTGGAAACAACTTCCCCTCCGGAGGGGAAAGCTCACGCTGTTCCCATGCGATGCCCTCTCTCTCCGAAATATCCCATGGCTCTGGGTGGATGCTTGCTCCATGGTGTCATGAGTGCAAAGATGCTGAAGTCAGAATCATGCCACACCGCACCTGGCTTGATTTATCCGATGGGAGAAAATGTCAAGTTTGACACACGAGCTCTGAGGCCCGGCTAGATCCAGGTCAGATCCCAGATGTGACTAGGCAGTGTCTGTTCCAGAAGACTTTGAACACACCTGCCTTTTATAGTGCTTTGAATGACTTTAGAGCACTCCCGTCCCCTTTGAGTATTTCTGGTCAAGAGTGTTCCTTGCTTACCCGCACACAGATTGAAACGCATTAAAAAGTGGGCCAGTTAATCAAAGCCATTGTGACAAAACACAGAACAAGAGCACAAAAGTATGGCATTCAACTCCCTGATTTTCCCGGCGGTCCCTAACATTCAGTTCGTGTTTTTTGGACAGCTGCAGCAAATTGGGTGGATGTTTTCCACGAACTGACCACAGTTATTCCAGGATCTTTTCCCAATCCTCTAAGTATTTACAACAGCTAATTTAGAAGCCAGAAACGTTTTCTCTCTGATGTGTATCTAGAATATATATATATTTTAAAAAATACACTCATAGTAGTATAAGATTTCCCCTCCCCCCCCCCCCTTGGCATTTGGTCTGCCACTTTCCCAGTCATGCAAGATTTTTGCTGAAGCTGGTTCCTATTGGTTTTAAAACAACCTATGTTAAACATTTTGCTGCAGCAGAACATCTTGTGTCTCCCACCCTCCCAAATTCACGTATCCAAGGCTGGCCAAATTAGGTTTGCATCTGAGGCAGAAGTCTCACAAAAGCCATCTTTTTTGTCCAGTCAGTGAAAGCAGAACAATAAGAAATTAAATAACTAACAATGTGGAGCTAACCAACATCTGTTGCCTGAGGTGGCCAACTTGCCCTGCTTAATAGAAGAGCCAGCAATGTGTACAGTACAGGGGTTCTGCTCCTGTTTTCTTGGCAGGAAGTTTTAATGTCTCATTGAGAAAGGGACGGGGAGGCGAATCACCTTGAAAGAGGCAGCTGTGTGAAAGACTGGGAAAGAAATTGGGTGAATTTGTTGCATTCTCTTTATTCTTCATCAATATTCATTTTCATCCCTAAAGCTTGCAATGCATGGAGTGGGAATATTGCATACAAATGCTTATGAATGAATTAAAATTAATTAGATTAATATTGAGTAGATAGAAGCTTCCTGTGGCGCAGCAGGTTAAATCACTGATCTGCTGAACTTGCTGACCATAAGGTTACCAGTTCGAATCTGGGGAGCAGGTGAGCTCCCACTGTTAACCCCAACTTCTGCCAACCTAGCAGTTCGAAAACATGCAAATGTGAGTAGATCAATAGGTACTGCTCTGATGGGAAGGTAACGGTGCTTCATGCAGTCATGCTGGCCACAAGACCTTGGAGGCGTCTACAGACAACGCCGGCTCTTCAGCTTAGAAATGGAGATGAGCACTGCACCCCAGATTCGGACATGACTCTCAGAGTTGGATACAACTGGACTTAATGTTAGGGGAACTTTTACGTTTACCTTAGTATTTGAAAGTATTTGAAAAGGATTTGTTTTTCTTTGACTTGATAAGACCAATGTCACCACTGATATATGAAGGAGCAGATTTAAAATTTGAATTAAAGACTATTGAATCCAAGCAAGATTGACTGAAATCACTGACATATAGTAACTGCTTTGGGAGACATTGATCGAGCATTTGGACAACATGGCCAGTCCAGCAAAGTTGATGGCGTAGGATCATCACTTCAATGCTGGTGGTCTTTACTTCTTCCAGCATGACATTCGTCTGCCTGTCTTCCCAAAAGATTTGAAGGGTTCTTCAGTAGTAACGCTGAAGGAATTATTCCAGAAGTTGAGTGTGATATCTGTAGATGGTCCACATTTTGCAGCCGTATAACAGGGTTGGGTGGACAATAGCTTTATAAACAAACATCTTGGTTTCCCTACAAATGTCTTGATTCTCAAACACTCTCTGCTTCATTCAGAAAAAATGCTGCACTCGCAGAGCTCAAACGGTGTTGTATTTCAGTGTCAATGCTGATTTTGTGGAGAGGTGGCTACCAAGGTAGCGGAAATGGTCAACATTTTCTAACATTACACCATTAAGCCGTATTTCGGGCATTGCAGAGGGATTGGCTAGTGTCTGCTAAAAGGGCACTTTGATTTTCTCAATGTTCAATGAGAGGCTGAGTTTCTTGTATGCTTCTGCAAAGGTCTTTAGGGTGGCTTATAGATCTTCTGAATGAGCACAGATTACATTATCACCAGCATATTGGAGTTCTATAACAGATGTTGTTGTGACCTTGGTTTTGGCTTTCAGTCTGCTGAGGATACATAGCTTGTCATCTGTCTGATAAATTATTTCCACGAGGGTGGGAAGCTTCTTATCAACAAAGTACAGTATCATAGTGATGAATATGGAGAATAAGGTTGGAGCAATAACATATCCCTATTTGACACCTGATTCCTGGGTCACTGTGGGAACCACTGCTGTCCAAGACTGTTGCCATCATGCGGGAGCTGCAGGATGTTCACAAATTTGTCAAGGCATCCAATTTTTGGATGGTCCAGACAGTACTGAGATTCGCTTTGTCGAATGCCTTTGCAAAGTCAATGAATGCCATGTACAGATGTCGCTTTTGTTTCCTGCATTTTTCTTGGAGCTGTCGTGCAATAAAGATTATATGCACTGTTCCTCTGGGGAGGCAGAAGCAATTCTGAGATTCTGAGGGGATGTCTTTCCACAGTCTATTAATACTAATATTAGGATTTAAAGAAGTATCAAACAATATGTAGATGTTCATTTATGGTATAGGAAGTACAGTATATCTCAGTACCTAAGTTTGTGGTTGTTTTGCGTACTTTTACCTTGTATGCTTTTTACATAGTGCAATGCTGTGTGCTCATAAAAATCATTTTCAAGTTTCAAAAATGTTCTTTTCCACATTGAACCCAGATTTAGTAAAACTGAACCCAAACTTTAAAATATCTAGAAAAGATATCCGGCCCACTGATGAGCTCTTCCCTGCCACCTACAGCCCGAAGCTGCCAATGAGTGCATCCAAATTCAAGCATCCCAAATTTTGTTTTAGTTCTTACAGAATTCATACGTTAGAATAAACCAATCTGGATGGCTGGTATAAAAAATCTCTGATATTACTGATATATTTTTATGGATCTCCAAAATGAAATAGAAAAGAACAGGAACAAAACCTAGGACTTTGTTGCATTTTACTCTGGATATGATCACAGCAGCATTTATCTCCAAGTGGACTGGATTGGGAGAAGGAAACGTGAGAGAAATGCTTCCCACAGCTCATAGAGGGCATTTTGAGGCAACATTTTTTTTAATCTTGCATTTTATTATTTCATTTTATTTTTATGATCAGTAGCCACAATTGTGGTGGTAATGACACACAGATCTCTTACTTGGCATTTCGGGATAAACAAAAGCTAATAAATGAGGGCAACATGCAACTTATGGACCACTCTTTGGCCATCCCATTTGAGACTTTTGGAAAGAGAAATACTCGGATCCCGCAGGAAGTGGAAAGGGGTCACTTCTTGCCGGTTTATAATTTATTAACTCCCCTTCCCAAGAGCGTGTGCCAGGCTTTGGCAATAATACTCAAGTTTTTGAATCGATTATAGGATGATGGCGCCATTTGCCCCAAAAGCAGGCCAGCCTAAGAACTGGGGATCCAGGTGCCTTTCTTATCCAATTCTATCATCGCAAAATTTAATTAACAATCCTTTTTAATTTTGCAAATGCTTTTGCTTTCTTTATGGAATTATATCCGGAATCTTGCATGGGATCTATGGATACCTAAGCGGAGTGATTATGGTGCTATGCCAAGGGTCTTCAAAACTTTTTAACAGATGGCTGGTTCATGGATCCCTCAGACTATGGGGAAGCTGTACTAGTTTGGAAAAAAAAACATGAAGGAATTCATCTTGGTCAGAATCTGTCCAAGATGAATTCCTAGCTCCCTTACCTTACCTAGTTCCTTTGCCTTTTAAAAAACTCTTTAGTTAGTATTCACAATCATTTGTTCAACCATATCCTATTAATTCAGAACCAACCACCTGATAGGTGTTGATGGTAACTTGTATTGAATCTTCAAATCTACTCTAGAAATGTTTCAGATATGTTTATCTTTCTGATTATGAAAACCAAGTGGAAGCTGTATTCGCAGTATCAAATACTAACCCAGTCCTTTTTTTGTGTGCCAGGAGCAACTTGAAAAACTGCTTCTGGTGTGAGAGAATGTCATCCGCAAGGACATTGCCCAGAGGACATCCAGATGTTTAACCATCCAGTGGGAGGCTTCTCATGTCCCCACATGAGAAGCTGGAACTGACAGAGGGGAGCTCACCCACTCCCTGGATTCGAGCTGCTGACCTTTCGGTCAGTAGTCCTACCAGCACAAGGGTTTAACCCACTGCACCACCAGTGGTTCCTAGCCCAGTGCGGAAAGAAATCAATTATCTTCCTTCACACTTCCTTCCCAGATTGAGCCGAATAGTGTTAGCAATACCAGCAGTGCCCAGGTAAGTGAATAAGCAGTTTTTCTGGGTGACTTCCATGTGCAAGTTTGCCATCTAGTGGAAAATTAAAACATTATCAAACAACTCCAGCTAACCCAGTACATATATGCTCCCAAATAAAGTCAGCACATGTTCAGTGTCAAAAAAATCTGGATCTTTTAATAATCATATATTTTTCTCAAAATCATATTTGTATTTTGCTAATATTTTGATCACGGCTGCAGTAATCAATTTGTTCTAGCTTTTCCAAGCATAAACCCATAGTTTCATTTCGATAACAAGCATATTTGAGCACATTACTACAGATTGGAAATGGTTGTTAAAACTTTCAAACCTGCCACACAAATAAGAGACTATTGACAGTCTACAGGAAAAACAGAAAGAACAAAGAATAACATGATAGTGTTAATTATCTCCAGGTTCTCACCTATCAGCATCTATTTGGTTTGGCTACCATGTAGATCTTTAGATGTGTGTTGTAAAGAACCATCTTGAAGCTAAAAATGGTTCATATGTGGGATCTTTTCCTTCGAAAGGGTATTTATTAGGTGGTAGACAAATCCAGAAAGTGAGTTGGGGGAATGCAACATCCCAAATCTCATGGCGAGCCAATGATGATTGGGTGGTGGATTCTGGGAATTGTATTAAAAATAACATTTCCAAGTGCTGAATAGATAATTTTATGAGCTCAAACCAACAAGTACTTTAATGGGACATGTGCTGAATCATTTAATTTTAAACTTTTAAGGATTCGAATTAGCACAATGGTTCTCAATCTGTGGTTTCCCAGGTGTTTTGGTTTACCACTCCCAGAAATCTCAGCCAGTTTACCAGCTGTTAGGATTTCTGGGAGTTGAAGGCCAAAACATCTGGGGACCACAGGTTGAGAACCACTGAATTAGCAGGACATACATCCTGCTAATTCAGTAGGTCTATTGAATTTGCCTCCCAAATTCAATAGACCTACTGAATTAACTATTCAGCCTATGGGAGACACAGGGAGCAGCACATTGACAGTTCACGTGGGCCACACAGCACAGCCTTACAGGCAGCCCCTCCTCTTCCTCGCTGCAGGGAGCAGCTTCTCTCTGGCAGCCTCTGCAATGCAGGGATCAGGACTGCACCGTGCCTACAAGGACCAAAGTGTGCACTTCTCCCTCAAATTAGGACAGAATTGATTCACTATGCAGTAAAGGCAGGTCCTCCTCCTGGGTAGATCTTGCTGAATAAGGAAACGGTGCAGCCCATGACACAAGCTAGGGGTTTACAGCTTTTGTATAAACAGCAATTGACTAGTCCACTTATTTGAGATGAGATTCAAATAGGAAGCTGCTTATTCTTATCAACCTTTTGAGGCAGAACTTGGAAAAGTTGCATTTCTGGACTGTAAAAGCCACCAGTTTGGGGAATCCGAATATTTATTGCCCCTCCAAAGTACTCTTCAAAGTACTGATGTGGGAGGAGGTTCAAATAAGGATAAATATCAAAACAGCTGAAACAGCACCAGAAGCTGAATCTGCATCAGACAGAAATAGTTTTTCCTTTTCCATGGGAGGCTCTTATCAGCAGGCTGCTATTGTGTATTTTTCATAAAGAATGTTATTTGGTTATCTAAGAAATCCACATTTTTGCATTTGGATATGCTGTGATCCAATACACATGAAGAAGGAAACCTCACGCAACTCAACAGGACAATTATTTCAGGCAAAATATACATAAAGGTGCATCATACCCATTCTCCAAGCCATTCTTAAATTTGCCCTGGCATCCAGATATACAGGAGACACAAAACTTACAGTGCAGCCCATATTTTCTCAGTAAATGTGAACGGATTATCTGGCAAAATAATGTTTTGTGTCTTTCCCTAGTCAAATGGATTAAATAAGAAGACAAAAAGCATAAATCCCCTCCTCTATATATTTGGATGTAGAATTGTTGCAACTATAAGGGAATTTCTAGAAAATGTCCTCGCTAATGTCAGATAAAATAATCCAATACTAAGCAGAAAGTGAATTTTTAGAAAGTAACTGTAGCTGAAGAACGGCCCTGTATGCTAGCAATATGTGGACTGTAACTATAGTCCATCTGAACAAGAGGCTGGTTGGCTTTGGGATGGGGGAGTGGGGATAAGGCAGATCTGAAGTAAAACACAGAACAGTTGGAGGGTGCTCTACTTCCAGTCCAAACGAACCATCTTATTTAAGGCTGGGCCACAATCCCTTTTATGGGATCAATTGCCCCTTTGCGTATGTGGGAGGAGGGAGATCCAAAGGAGACAAATTGGAAAATGTTTTGAGTAAGGAGGTGGATTGAGCAAGATAAAGTGGCCCAAGGTTTCATTTTAACCCTGCACTTCCCACCTCCAAAAAGGTGTGTCACTGGGTAGCATGAGGCCCAGGGGAATTATTGCAGAACAAAAGATGGCTGTCCTATTCAACTCTTACCTGTTTTATCATTCATCAACAGTGATTTTTAAGTTCAATAGAAAATTAAGGCAGCATGCTGCAGCCAGCACCTCTACAACTCAGTTCCAAGAAGTAAAAATTCATGGAGATAGCGTTCCTCTGCATTTCAGTCATGGTGGAGGCAAGAAAGACTCCGAGTAAGGCCATATTCATTATTTTCATCCCTATCTTCCTCTTATTACTCAGGGTTATGAATATCTTTATTAAACCCCCCTTTGGCTACTGCTCATTTTCCACCAGAGGATCTCAAGTGGCAAAGGACCAGTTTACCATTCATGCCCCTCTACGAACAGAGGAACATAGATACAAAGTGAAAAAGAGACCTGCCCAGCTTCATACAGCTTATCACAGTGGATCGGAAATTTTCATAATATCCAGATCCCACACAGAGACAGCAGAATGGGGGCTGCCTCCAAGCAGAGAAAGCCAGCAAAGCAGCAAGGGATAAACAGCAGTCACCCCTTCAAGACATAAAGGTTTCTAGGAGAGCTCAATTATGCTCAGAGGCCAGGTCTTCTCCTGCTCCTCCAGTTGCTTTGCCCATAGGTTTGTAAGTGGGGTATGAATGCTTTTATTGCTGTGAGCATTGGAAGGCAAGAGGAACAAGAGGAATCTCAGAATGAAGGGCAGATCAGCGATAAGAGCAGTGACGCTTTGTGACACACCCTGTGAAACCTCAGTGCTGTGAACTCCTTCAAGCCTAGCACTTAAGGAGCCACAAAAACATCATTTTGTTCTCAAAAAGGACAGGTGCTGATAAAGAGACTGAGAGCTGAGTGTCCTTCCTGCACAAAGTGTGGAAACACTAATGGCATCTGATGAGTGAGGAGTGGGAAAACAGTCACTGATACCTACCGAACCCTGCTTTAGGTGTGCTGGTCCAAGTGCCAGTTTTTAGCCTGTTTTGCCCCTGATGGGCCACTCAAGAATGTTCCACAATCAGTATTGGTATTCCACCAGATCTCAGCAAGTCCCCAGCCCTCAATCAAACATCCAAGGCCTGCATCCCCCAGGGAGGGTGTTGTGTCACAATGGGAAGCAAACAGAAGAGGTTTTCAGTCTATCTGTCTTTTTCTTTGGTTTATCTCTTCTCCCATCTGCTTAGTCGCCCTCCCCTCAAGCTTCTGCTTGGAGCTGAGGGACATTGGCAAGTGCAGCGATGATCTGGGCATAGATTTCAATCCCTCGGAGGAAGACTTGCTCATTCAGGAACTCATTGTGGTCATGTAGCAGCACAGGAGTGCGGTTCATGGGGGAGAAGCCAATCGCCGGGTGACCTGCCTGCAATACAGAGAAAGCAGTGAGGCTTTTCAGACAGGGATGCTTCAGGAAAGCAAGAAAAGAAGTATGGGGTACAGATACAGGGTATCCACCTACAGGGTATATGCTTAAGCAAGTAAGCAAACAAATAAATACTTGTACTCACTGCTCTAATGTAGCGGCTATCTGTGGCAGCTGGGAAGATTTCACACTTCAGCTTCATGTTCCTAAAAGACACAGAGAAACAATACTATTTACAGTGCTAAATTAGCTTGTTATATTTCCTTCCACTGAGTCTAGATCAGTGGTTCTCAACCTGTGGGTCCCCAGATGTTTTGGCCTTCAACTCCCAGAAATCCTAACAGCTGGTAAACTGGCTGAGATTTCTGGGAGTGGTAGGCCAAAACATCTGGGGACCCACAGTTGAAAACCACTGGTCTAGATGGTTTGAAGGAAGAATTTAGATGGGGATCATCTTGATGCACAAGAATGGGAATTATGTGGCCCTCCAGATATTACTGGATTGCAACTGCCAGCATCTTCCATCACTGGCTATGTTAGCTAGGTCTGATGGGAGTTGCAGTCCATCACCATTTAGAAGGACACACATTCTTCAGTCCGGAGGAGGGGAAGTTGGGAAGGATGTGGGTTCTTGGCCATACTTCTGCTCTGGGTGGAGTTTCTTTCAGCTCTAGGATTCTATGTTTCTATGAACATGTCATCTTACTCACATGTCCCTGCAGGTGGTACTGAAGGCCTTCCACCAAGGGTCAGACTCCTCTGTGGAGGTCACCGACTGATCCGTGTATTTCTAGCCCAAAGAGAAGGGTAGAAGGTGAAACTTGGGGGAGGCCACTTGGAGGGCACCCACGGCATACGGGTCTGTGGCAAGGGTATGGCAGAAGCAGCAGAGAGCCAGAGGTAGAAAAAATACTAAGCAAACCAGAAAGGAGGCCATTTTTAAATGAAAGGTGCAAAGGGCAGAGCAAGATAGATTGTGGGAGTGGCAGCGGGGAAGTGTGCAGTATAATCCAAAGCCAGGAACTGAGCTATGCTCCTATATTAAGGGGAAAGCCACAGACTGTTGGAGTGCTTTCTCATTTCTGCTATTACCTGGTGGAACTCATAGGTAACCCCTTCGCCAGCTGCCCGGCACCAAGCTGTGACCTGCTCCTCAAATGCCTACAAGAAAGAGACAAACCAGCACGTAATATGACAACATGATTCTTGGCCAAAGGTCCCGATTTCCATTTCTGTGAAAACTCTACAGCTTTCCCAATTCATGCTAGAATCTTCTTCCTTCCTTCCTGTCATGTTTAACCACAGTTCTGTCTCATAGATTTAACAATCACACGCCATATAATGGGGATCTTGTGACCTCTCAGATGCTGGTGATAAATGGGAATCCTGTAAATGGGGTTTGGAGTGCTGCATATTTTCCACTCATACTTTGAAAGTATTGACCTTAAGCTCAACCATTAATCCAAGGAGGCCCGTTGGTTTAGAACTATTTTAGGTCTCTGAATTTTCCCTCTACTGCTCTGAGTCTTTTCGGTATATTTTCAAATGCATTACAATTCATGGCTTTTGGAAGTAAGGCACAGGTGGAGCAATCAGCCCAATCCAATTCACCCAGTAATAATCAAGGAGGATTGGCAGGCACCTTCACAGCATTAATTATAACAATTGCAAGGATATTCTTTTAATAAATCATTATACTTTATACAGTATGACTTACAACAGTGGTTCAAGAGTCCCTACCCCCAGGTTGTAAGGCAATGGCTCCCAACCTGTGGATCCCCAGGTGTTTTGGCCTATAACTCTCAGAAATCCCAGTCAGTTTACCAGCTGTTAGGATTTCTGGGAGTTGAAGGCTAAAACATCTGGGGACCCACAGGTTAAGAACCATTACCCTGGAACATTATAGCCATTTAGGGCTTCGTAAGTCAAAACTAGCATCTTGAAATGAGCTGAGAAGCACATTGGAAGCCCATGCAATTGTGCAAAAGCAGTGAAATGTGGTCTCTAAAATGCATACCAGACAATAGTATGACTGTTTTAATTTCTGAACACTTTTCCAAATTACCCATGCAAAATGCATAATAATAGTCTAACCAGGAGATAATTAAGTCATGAACCACTGAGGCCAACCCCACTCCTGCCCACAGAAGCCACATGGCTTTCCAAGAGCAATCTGAGTCCAAGAGTACCGGCAAGCTGAGAATCTAATCTTTCAGAAGAACAAACTGTAATCTCAATTATCAAAATAATTTCATAATGACTAACAAAATATTTTAATTTTTATTTAAGCACAACTTGGAAATCAAATTAAGGAGAACAAGTATGGACAACATCACATAGACTGAATGTTGGCCACCATATCCCAATCTGTCCCCTCCCCTCTCCATCCTCTCGGTGGTTACATATATTATACCTTTAAATCAACTGTGGGTGGGATGCGAATATCAAAGGCTGCAGACATCTCAGAGGGGACCACATTGAAAGAGATGCCCCCATTCAGCATGGTCAGGTTGAGCGAAGTGACATCACCTAACGTAAGGTGCTTTTCTGATTTCAACCTAAGGGAGACAAGGGACAAGACCTTTCACTCCAGCTCCCTGAAACTCTGGATGAAGCTGAACATGGGAGGACACAGCTTGCGTAAACATTTTCAAAAAGCCAAAGCAATTAATATTCTCATCTACAAAAAGTGGAACTGGTGGTAGTTTCCTTATATAACAAATTACAATTTGATGCGGAGACACACAAGCATGCCCAATCATAGGGCTCTAATACAAGCTCCAAGGCTGATGAATGCCTCCCCTTGTCTAGACTTAATTTTTGCTAAGAGACTTGGATCCCAGTTATGTTACTCAAGCCACTAAGATTAACAAGCCACACCCTAGTGGACATCATAGCATAGTACTAGGAACTGATCGTAAGAATGGGAGCTCAGGCTTATTCTTTCTTTCATTTCTCCCCCAAAGAATGTACACTGAAATGGTGGCAGAAATATATGAAATAGTAAGTAGAATTTCAAGGCAGATAATCTGCTACAGAAAAAAATATCCAAGTGTCTTAGACTGCATCTATGGCAGGCATCCTCAGAGGTTGTGAGGTTGTGACCTCACAACCTCTGAGGATGCCTGCCATAGATGCAGGCAAAACGTCAGGAGAGAATGCTTCTAGAATATAGCCATACAGCCCGAAAAACCAACAACAACCCAGCGATTCTGATCAAGAAAGCCTTCAACAATAGTTTGATAAATTATTACAGGTTGACCATTCCTTATCTGGATTTGAAATCTGAGATACTCCAAAACTCAACATTGTCAATGAGGGTAGCTAAGAGTGACACCTGAGCTTTCTTAACGTTCAATGAACATAAATTTTGTTTCATTCACAAAATTTTATAAATATTTTATTTAAAAATACCCATCAGAGTACCAGGTGTAAATGAAACATAAATGAAATTAATGTATAGATTTTGTTCCATCCCCAAGCTCTCTCATTATGTACATATATGTAAATAAATACAGTCATTGCAAAATCTAAAAAAAAAAAACACCCCAAAACAAAATTCAAAACACTTCTGAGCCCAAGCATTTTGAAGAAGGCATATTCAACCTGTACTGTTGTTGTTGTTGTTGTTGTTCTTACCTTTGTTTTTCACGTTCCCTGAATTCTAGGAAAGAAGTGATCACTCTGTGCTAAGGAGAGGAAAGTTGAAAAGTCAATTCAAATAATGTTGAAACATGAAAACACAACTCATCTTAGCAAATAAAAGGCATAGTGTTTTTAAAATAGACTATTAGCTGGCTAACATAACGCCTAAAGAAAACAATCACACACATGCTATACACGCACACACACATTGCCGGCCCCTTATTAAACAGGACGGGGTCATATTTCTTCTAGATGGAGGAGGATGGAGGAAGGATGTTTAATGGGATGGTGTGGGAATGATCTAAGCCAGTGTTACTCAAAGTGCCTTATAACAGGCTCACCTACCACTTTATGTTTGCCCTTAACTCTTACAGAGAATACTCCCTTACCATCTTTTCAGCAGCTGTGTTTTCAATAAATCTGGATCCATGTCCTGGATTCCCTTCTACCTTCACTTTAATCCCTGCAGAAAGTAATGGGAGGCAGAGAATAAGAAAGAGCAGTTTAGTAGCCACAACAACCTCTTAATACCTAGGGACCAAAGCATCTGAGGACCACTTCTAAAAAAAAAACAAAACCTGTTGGACAGGGATGGGCCTGTCCTACAAGTTTTTCTGAATGTGGGTCTACAGATAGCTGGCACTAGATCAGTATGAAGTTTTGACTTCCAATATTTTAACCATAGTAAGAAGAGCAGGATATATATTTTTAAAAGCACTTCCTTGTGGTTAGCCTAGGCTGACAACTTATGCCTTAGGTTCAGTATCCATCATTTAATTGCCAGCATCTGACCAAGTATGTTTGAGTTCATCTACATTGCTGATGAACCTGCTGACAGAAAGATTGGCGGTTCAAATCTGGAAAGTGGGGTGAGCTCCTGCTGTTAGCCCCAGCTTCTCCCAACCTAGCAGTTCAAAAACATGCAAATGTGAGTAGATCTATAGGTGCCACTTCTGTGGAAAAGTAACAGTGCTCCATGCAGTCATGCTGGCCACATGACCTTGGAGGTGTCTACGACTTGGAGGTTTCTTCGACTTAGAAAAGGAGATGAGCATCACCCCCCAGAGTTGGACATGACTAGGCTTAATGTCAAGGATTTATATGTAATATACTCCTGCACTCCCCACCTACCCCTGACACAAATTAATATATACCTGGTTCTTACTCACTGGACAAGAACTATATTCCAAGGTATGGAAGACAGGGAGTGAGAATAAAAAGAAAACAAAAGTGCAGAACCAGTTGGATACAGGGGATGACTTCCAATCCCAACTATCCATGTATGAGTAGTTCTCATAGTAGAACAATCCACACATCTTAACCATAGAAAGACAACCCTACATGTCGAAATCCCCACACCAGAAATCAGATTTAGATATTTGTCACCATTCACTGCTATATCTCTTGAGTTTTCAGATATTCCTTAAATCTAAGAGGGATTGTCATCATTCAAGTATGAATCTTGACTGTACATAATCTCAGTTGTTCACTGTAAAATACTTCATAAACTACAATTATTCAAAATTCTAAGAATTTCCAAGTCCTTTCTGGTGATGTCACTTAGATAACAGATCAATAGACTACACTATGTTTGTTCCTTGGTTATAAATGTCATTTCTTAATTGGTTCTATCATAAAAAACATTGAAAAGTTTGTGAAAATACAAAAACTTGCAGCATATTTTGCTATAGTTTTTCAATTAATATCTCACTGAGTCTCAGCCAAGTCAACATAGTTTATGGCAGCCACCAAAAATGAATTTTCTGGAGTATAACAATGACTTTCAAAGTAAGCATCACACAATTAAACAGGAATAACACTTTCAAACCAGAAACATTTTTTTTTTCAAATTTTGTTACATAGTGTTATAATCTGCTATAAGAACTGTGGAAAAAGAATAATAAAATTCTGATCTAAGTGCAAAAGGAGGTTGATCTTATTATCTGTTTTGGCTTCACTAAGAAGCCCTGATGGTTAAAGAAGGGTTACACATCTGCCTATTACACAGCATATGAACAAACTCCAGCAACCATTAAGAAGAGTTCATGTCTTCCCCGAGGAAGGGATGCAACGCAGTTCTTTCCACATTATGCTCACTTGTATTTTCTATGCAGATCTTAAGACACATGATTTTCAAAAAAAGATCAGAAGTAAGAACAAAGAAACATAAAGACACAGAGGAAGACAGAATCCCAAATCTTACTCACACCATGGGCATTTCTCGCCATAGAATACAGTGAAAGTATCTGTCGGATTTGCCAGGCCTGGAGCAAAACAAGAGAATGACAGTAGCAAGTAAGTTTTGTTAAAAAATATAGCAGGTTGACACCCTTTTGATGCACTAATCTCATATATATCACTTGATTTATTAAATTTATTCTATCTGACCCTATATCAAAAATTTCTAGGACAGAGTACAGTTAAAATCAATACTATCAGGTTATGATAAGCAAAAAAAAAAAGCAAACCTTCTCCCCTAAATACATATTAAAATAATAGAAAGTGAAATCAAGACTGGAAGACTAAGACAATTTAACACCCTTTGCAGAGCATTCAAAGGAAATGAGTGAGGCAGAAATGCTTTAATAAATAGCCATGTTTTTTCTTGGCACATCAAGTGCTAGCACTAAATAAGCCTCTAAGGAGAAGGTGTTTCACAACTGGGTTCCACAGCTAAGAAAGTCCTCTCCCACAACCTCACACAGAATACTGACCACACATTGGGCCACACAGAGGAGACCTCTCCCTAGACCAGATCTTATTCCTTGGAGGGATGCTGACTGACTTCCCCATTCTTGTGTCACTAAAATAAAACAACTTCACCAAAGGTGAGTCTCAACAAACAAGAAAAAGTGGAGTCACCTCCTGGCTCTCCTAATGATGAACATCGACTTCTGCTTGTTGTTGTTTTTGTCTTAATCTGACTTTGCCCCATTTTAGGCGAAGGTGGGGAATAGTCTGGAGTTTATCGCAAGGCTTTGCAGGAGTCTGGACTACTTGATCAGGCCCAATTCAGAACAATCTCTATAGAGACGGGCACTGTGCCATCACCCTGACCAGCCCAAGGGAAAGGGATGGCCCGTTCCTGTGTTGCTATTGCTGCTTCCCACTGGCTGCTGTGCAAGAGCCTAGCCATCACCTATTGCATCTGCTAATGTTAGAATGGGACACCCATGCAACCAGCAAAAAGAAAGGGTTGATCTACCCCCTTCTTCCTGGTTGTGCAGGCACCCCATTACAATAATACAATAGACCATGGCTAGACACTTGCATGAACTCAGTAACAGGCAAGGAGCAGCAGCAGAAACACAGAGGGTAAGGAAATGGTGCAAAACCGGTATGTTTAAGTGTGCATTTGAATGATGATTAGTGCCTGGTCATGAATGCCCAGCCCTAATTTACTGATAAGGTTCCATTCCACACTTTAGCTCCAGCCCTACAGTTTGTTTTTTTCCACAAGCCCATGCCCTGCCCTCTCTAATCTGATCGTGTCCAACATATTCCTGGTTACTGGTTATCGAGGTTGGTTTGATACACTTTTACAATGTTTTCATACTTTGCCATTCTTAATTGTTTTAATTAGATTGTTTATGTTATATTTGATGTTATTATGCTTTTAACCATGTTTTAGCTGGTAACTTTTGTTGTATGCTGGGCTTGAGCCTCATGTAAGCTGACCCAAGTCCCTTCAGGGAGGTGGTGGCAGGGTATAAAAATAAAGTCGTCGTCGTCATCATCATCATCATCATCATCATCATCATCATCATCATCATTGGGCTGATGTGGTCTCATGCTGGTTGGACTGGCCAGACACCAACATAATTTCAGTTGGGTGCATATGGACAGCCCTTGCATAAGCAATCAGTGTAGACTCATCCCAAAGCTCTGTAGATGGGATTATCTGATTGGAGAGCAAGTTTACAATGAAACATTGTCTACGCAGGTAATGCTTAAAACGGAACAATTCTAGGTCATCACTAAAGGTTATTCTGATAAAAGGAAAAGCATACAAAATTAAAACTCTGGTTCTACCATACTCTATAGTCCAAAAAAATGACTTCTTCAGTCTTGTGCCAATGGGTTCTCACCTTCATCCAAGGCAAAGCCAACATTAAGTGTGGCAAATTCAGGTCGTTTCACAAACATTTGCATTCCCTTGTAACCCCCAATCTCTTCATCTGGATATTGAAAAAAAAGGAGAGAGAGAGAGAGAGAGAACAAGAACGTGCATAAATTACAAAACCACCCTTTTGCTTTATACTTCAGACTGGGCACGTGTATGTTTTCCAGAATGAGAAGGAGATAAAATCAAATTTTAACACAGAGCTCTTTGTTGAAAACACAACAGCTTCTACTCATGGCAATCCAGCCCAGCCTGGTGCTGATGCCTCTTGACAGAACAAAACTCTCTGAGGATAAACAGTTGCTTTTTGCCCAGGAGTCATTCATAGTCAGCCTTTTCAGGACTGTGATGTGCAAACTGTTTTCTGCTCTCAGGAAGGAAACTGACAGTCTGCTGAAAGGACTGAGAAACTGAAAATGAGAACAACATTGAAAAGGCCACAGGAACAGCCACTCAGTATTTCTCCCAGGTCTGGGGACACCATTTTGGTTGAAATTAGACTGCAGAAGAGGGCCAAGCCAGACATGCTATGGGAGACTGTGTTTGGATTCTCTGATTATGATTTTCTTCTTCCTTAAAAGCCTCTGCACTGTTTCCATGAATTTTAATTATTTCCAAAACTGCTATGAGCTACCAGGACAGAGGTGGTAGCAAGTGCCTCTAATGGACACATCTTTTACACACTCTGCAGCTAACAACATGGATGTTTTGGAGGGCAATGGGTTCACTCTCCCTCCTGGATTCCATTGGCCCTGACCCAGATTGGCATTTATACTTTTAAGCAAAGGGAATGGCATGAGGATTGCTGAGTACAGATCTCTCATGTCACATCACATCTCGTTCAATCCTGGGCATCTCTCTATATGTCCCTAGTGTTCAAAGTGTGTTGTTGCAGCAGAACAAGAACTCCAGATTTATTTATTTTTTCTGGGCAAACAATCAGATGTGAAGTCACACATGCCTTCTAGAACTAATATCTGGCCCTATGCATTTACTTAGTACCATCTCTTGAATAAAAAGTTCCCAAAAGCTCTGACAAGTGCTTCATAATGCCTTTATAAGCTCATTGTAAGGAGGGAATGAGGATGGTAAATTTTTAAAAAATGTGCAACAGGGCTTGCAGTGGTTCTCAACCTGTGGGTCCCCAGATGTTTTGGACAAAAGCGATGGAGCCTACCTGATGTCGCTGGGGAGGGGGTTCCACAGCCAAGGAGCCACTACTGAGAAGGCCCTGTCTCTCATTCCCACCAATCGCACTTTCTATGAAGGTGGGACCAAGAGAAGGGCATCCCCAGACTTATTTGATATTGTTTAAAAACTGAAAGAGGAAATAGCGATATCAGCAGCTTCCAATGCTGCCACATTTTTTAGCTAAAACTCCAGCTCTGTCCCCTAACTACATATAGTGAACAGTTTGGATTTCCCCCTCTCTCTTTGAGGAAAAAGAATCCAAAAATGTTTATTGTAAAATATAAAAAAGGAGATGACAACACTAGAGAAAGACACAAAATAATCATGAGAAATATTGGTAAGTATGAAAAATCTCAACCTTTTAAATGACATCTTTTCTTGATACAAAATGTTCATTGCATTGTACTTGCATTGCTCATTCCTCTGCTAGATAACAATGTGTATTCTTAGCAAGGGAAAACCCTCTGCTGTCACTCAGTCCAATGCAGAGAAAATATACTGCAGCAGATCCACACTGAGCAGATGTAAGTATTTTGCCAGCTTCTAGGGTTTTCCTTAAAGTGCTCAGCTTGCATACTAAGCAGAGTATCTTCCAGCCCCTTATAAATATACTGAATTCCCCTCTCTCTTGCTCCTATCACTTGAGCAAACGTCAGGAGACAAAGGGCTCATCTGCATACCCATTAACTTAACTCACCTGGAACAAAGCTCATATGAATAGTTCTTGGAAAACGTCTTCCTTCAGCTTTCAGTCTCCGGATAGCTTCAATGTACCTAAAAGGATGAATGAGCATAAACCTAGCATTAGAAATGGCAATACCCAAAAACCAGTTGATTAATATTTCAACCTTCCTGGAAACACAGTAAGGGGTTTACAGGTTGCAATCTTTGAAGAAATTATAAAAGAAGACTAGAAAGAGAAATTGCTAGATTTAATTATATTCATAAATTCTAGTCCATTAGCAGAGAGCATTTACGCCATTCTTCTCTTCTCACCCCTGCAAGAGGAGATATAAAATTTAAGATAAATTGACATGGGAAGGAAAATGGGAAGCTGAAGCTCCCTCTACCTGTTTGTGGCAATCTCAGGCTGGATCCTGCCCTTACCTGCCTACTTTGGAAAAAGAAAGCAAACAAGGCTCAGCTACATGCTATGTATGTAATGGGAGTGTGTGTAGTTTAGACCCTAGTCATGTCTTCTTCATCATTCTTCAAGAAAAAAACTGGCAAAGCAGTCTTCTCAACTGACACATAGATACTAGACTGTGGAACATAGAAGTGAAAAGAGAAGTAGCCAAACTTACTGGATAGAGACACATTTCATGTCTTGGGCCCCACGTGCAAAGATATTTCCCTCAGAGTCCTTGAAGGCTGAAAAAGGGCCATGGTGCCAAAACTCCTGTAATTACAGAACAGACACCTCACTGAGCATGGCATTGAATCTTTGCACATGATACATCCCAGAGCTTGGAAAAGTTACTTTTGGGACTATCTTTCCAAATTCATACTTTCAACATAGCTCTCCAGTAATAGGAAATTAATATAATCTATGTAAACCCCATCAGCTATTTTCACGTTTTTAATATATTCTAGTTGTGATATAAGCATCATCATACATGTTATACATTTGAAAAAATAATTTTTGAAAATAATTTTTTTACGATGTGTCATAGTATTGTGAGCCACCTTAAGTCCCTATAAAAATTGTTAATAATAACAACTCTTTTATATTACTTAACTATAATCTCACAAAAACATATTCCCTCTACATACAAACTAAAAATGTCCACCCACCACTTTAGAAACTATTAAGAAAGCTAGCTTATAGTGAGTGCGGGAATACCGAATCAGATTTTTACCACACATCCTACACAGGAGCACACAGACAGAGACGTCACGTGTACGAGGATGCAGCATATTCACATGATCATTTAAATTTGCATAGCTCTAAATGTAAATTCAAAAGAGCCTGGTGAAGTAGAAGGGGAGGATCTGGGAGTTCTCTTCTGGAGCAGTTTTCCAACGGTTGTCACCCATTAGTACAACAATACCATTTCCAAAAATTCATTAAAAAGACGGGGAAAAGGCTATGAGCCTAAATCCCCAACAAGTTCCCTCCAAACCTCAAACACTGGCACGACATCTGTATGGGAATTCAGCAAGATGGAGCGAAGCTGAGGGTTTGTGCCTTTCCAAGTGAGAATGGTGATCACTCGACCAGGGCAGACCTGCAACACAAAATGAAAACTTCTGGGATTTCTCAGCCTATATTTCCAACTTGTAAAAGGTTTCTATGTAACCAAGAACTCTTTCTTTGACAGCAATTATCTCTTATGGTTTTTAGTTTTAAATATGTTTTTATTGATTTTAACTGATTTTTTAAAATACCAATGATATTTAATTCAGTTTTAATGTTTGTATATTTTAAAGTGTATTTAAATGCTTTTAATGTAAGCTGCTTTGAGTCTCATTGTTGAGAGAAAAAGCGGGGTGTAAATAAACATAATAATAAGTTTATTTATACCCCGCTTTTTCTGAACAAGGATATTATTTATTATTATTATTATTATTATTATTATTACTGAGAACTCAGCCATGGCGCCTTTTATGTGTTAATTTTTCTGGCACCACCCTTGCAACGTGTTCTACAATGTTTAGGATGGCAATTCCTGTCATTCAAGAGCCCTAGCTATTCTGATAGAAGTTGTAGTCCTGGAGATCTAAAAAGAACTAACTTGAGTGAGTAAAGCTGCAGTAGCAGCTTTTCTAAAAGGGAAAATAGTTGTTCTATAGGCTAATCAGGAACAAAAATATCCTGATGGCAATGCGTGAGCTACTAGAACTTGATCTACTTAACGTTCATAATATGTGTGTCCTTGGCCCTAACTGAACTAGTAAAGAATTGCATAAGCACTGCCAAACACAGACAGGTGGATAGAAAAATACCTTTCCATGCATGTATGTATTGCCACAGATTTATTTGCAGGGACAAAGGAAGTGTATTCATCTTGAAAGAAAGAAATGCTTGGGAATCAGAGTGCTGCAGGCTGAATAAAAATCATGTTTTTTAAGCAAACAACCATGAAGTCTTCCTGCTGCTGCCAAATCAGGCATTTCTATACAGTTTCCATATATCTACACCTGAATGCTTCTGTTTCACATTTGACTCCTAATAACATAATAAAATATAGTATAGAAAGCTTGCAGTGCCCAGAATAAGTCTTCAACAACTACAGGGTGCCTAGAGAAACCAAGCAAACATGCTGATTGGGTTGCTGTGTGTTTTCCAGGCTATATGGTCATATTCCAGAAGCATTCCCTTCTGACATTTCACCCACATCTATGGCAGGTCAGACCTCACAACCTCTGAGGATGCTTGCCATAAATGTGGGTGAAACGTCAGAAGAGAATGCTTCTGAAACATGGGTATACAGCCCGGAAAAATCACAGCGACCCAGTGATTCTGGCCATGAAAGCCTTCGACGAAACAAGCTGGTCGTTTTTCAAAAGTGTCTTTGATTATCATGATCAAATATTGAAATCAAGCATGGTTGGAGAAACTTTGGCCTACCGAACCTAAAGACATCAGAGCCTGTCTGATCTTGAAAGCTAAGCAGGATCAGGACTAGTTAGCATTTGGATGGGAGACTGCAAATGAATATCAGTTGCTGTAGCAGAAGGGAATTGGCAAAATCTTCTCTGAGTATTCCTTGCCTTTAAAAACCCTATGAAATGGAGTCAACATGCACACTTTCTCAAACTCCAGTTGCCATCTCATCACAGCAAGACCAATGTTGAGGCATGATGGAAAGACTGGTACAGTAACATCTGCGAAAAAATATAAATTTCCTAGCTCTTAACTAGAAGCAAATTCCAGTTCTTAATAAGCCTCGGATCAGCAATTTAGGTTCAGCTATATTTGTGGACAATTTGTGTTTACAGAGGAAGCGAGTAAGGGGTAGAGAGAAGACATCTTTCTTCCTCTGCTTGATCCTTATTCCTTGTATTAAAGAAACCACATTCATTTTGCATGACATTATCCATAACCGTTATTAGTCTAAATACAGCACACAAAGCTGCAAAGGTCAGGTTGGATCAATTCAGGAACAGACATAGAACCTGTAAGACCAGATTAACAGGGGTAGGAAGCTCTGCAAGGGATTACAAGCTGCAAGGGGTTTGTTACAAGAGATAAGCAGCTAATTCAAAATAGAGACAGCATCAGCACTTTCTCCACTGCGTTGGATATTATATATTTTATTAACATTTATATCCCACCCCCTATCTGAATATGTCAGGATGCTAGACAATACAATTCACTTAATTTAAAACAGCACGAACAACAAAATGTTTTTAAAGCACTAAAACATGTTAAACAATTCAGTAAGTTAAAAGAAAACTGATTAACACTGGTTAAAACAATTTGAAACAATGTGCAGATTTGTGTAAAAAAATTGATCTATTGGACAGCCAGCTACTGAAAATCTAGAACACTCTTAAACACACAATATATTGTTGAAGGTTATGGCCATGTTCTTGAATGCTTTTAGAACATGGCCATACAGTCCGAAAAACCTACAACAACCCAAACAGACAATACATTCCATCAGCCCCATGGCAATCTATAGTTGGGAACTATGGGAGCTGTAGTCCCTCAGGAGGGCACCAATTTCCTAATCTTAAATCTTGGAAATGTTTTTCACTGCACCTCTCAATATGCTCCAGTCATACTAGTTAGGGCTTGTAATAAAAAAAAATACTTCCCTAACATCTGCCTACCTTTGATATAATTCAAGGGAACCTAATGGAATTAAATATCTTCAACAATGACCAAAGAAGCCTCATCCTTTCAAGGAACTTAGGTTCCTTACAAGGAACCTATGGGGTCCCTTCTCTCTCAACTGCCACCCTTTTTAGTTTCATTACTGCTTTGTGAGATAAATTAGGCTGGAAGATATGCAACTGGTGCAAGGATACAAAGTGAGCTTCTTCAGTAATTGGGGATTTAAACGCAGATACTCCACCAAATTTCCACAAAGGATGGGGGGAGTCTTGCTAGCTTGATGATAGGCCTTAGCTCTTGGAAGTCAGTTGAAAGACAATGGAAGAAATTCACATAGAATCACAGAATAATAGAATTGGAAGAGACCACATGGACCATCTAATCTAACACCCTGCCATGCAGGAAAAGCACAATCAAAGCACCCCCACAGATGGCCACCCAGCCTCTTTTTAAAAGTCTCTAAAGAAGGAGCTTCCACCGGACTTCAAGGCAAACTGATTAACACTTAGCAATGAGGTCTCTTTCATGTGTAACAATAGCAGCATGAAAGTTACTTCCCTGTGGATGTGAACAAGGTGAACACCGTAAGTGGTTTAGGGACTACTCCCCATTACTAGCTTCATTTGGAGACTACTCTCATCCAATCTCTCCCATATAATACTTTAGAGTGAGGGAAGTCCAGGCAGCCAAGGACAACACATGAACACACACACATCACAGTGCATAAGTCTCACTCCTGCAATAAGGAAATAAAAGACATGGAACCATCTGTGTGACCGGAAATTGATAACACCTCTTTCCCTTCGAATCACAGGTACAGTGAGAGGCCATACAATAGCAGGTTAGGTATAGATAATCAGACATCCTGAAAATCATCCAGATAGAGGTAATGATTTCTCTTTGCTTACCTCCACCTTCTGACAAGGCAGGTCAAGCTCAGAAGCTATTCTCTCCAGGAATTTTACAGCGGTGTCTGAAAGAAACCACCATAAAGGTCTTAAATGTCAAGGGAACATTTCTCCAAAATTCAAGCAGCATTCAATCAGTACCATTAATATAACCTTTACAAAATCTATCTGCTCTGTGCCCCTGTAAAGTGTTAGAAGCAGTACATTGACCCAGTAGTAATTGACAAATGAAAGTGAAATACTGGACAAGGGCTTCATAGCAATTATTTGGAAGAAAGGATCTTGCATCCATTGCTATTTGCTGACATTTCTTCAGTACATACCGGAACTCATTTGTTTGGCCCTGATATTTTGCATTAAGTATTGTGCGCGTCTATTGAATATTGGAAGGAACTTTTTGACAGTGCAAACAACCTACCCAATTGCATAAAGGGGTGGTGGGGTCAAAAACTGCTTAGAGATCTGCCTGCTGGAGATGTTTTAGCTGGAGACCCTGCACTGAACAGGGGACTGAACCTGATGGCCCACAAGACCCCTTCCAATTCTGTGCTGTTAGGTATTTTCTTGTAAGTATTCCTAAGATCATGATGCACTGACAGAAAGAAAAAAAAAACACACACACACAGCAATTTGCCTGAAGCAGAAGCGTTAAGTTTCATCCAAAGATTCCCGGGACCATCCATCACTCTGCCAATTGGATTACTGTCATTCTTAGCTTTCTTGTCCAAGATGGTACCCTCCAGTTCTCTCTGAAACATGCCACTAAAGCAGGGAAGAGTTTTTGAGCACCAGAATTTCTACAGACTCCTGAGAGCTAATAAAACCATTGATTCTTACAATGAGGGCTCAACAAATCCTATCACCACATCATCAGTGACAGGTTCTCTTCTTCCATGTTGGAAATAGTAAACTTCTCAAAACTCCACTAGTTATTTGTTATGCATATAATTGCTTACTGTGTTGTATATGTGTGTATTCGTATGCAATTTGACCTAACTCTTTGTTGTGGGAGGGGCTGCAGACCATATGATCAGGTCTGAGCTTGTTCAGAACTCAAGACTCTATTTTAGAAACTGTTATGCTTTAGATTTCAGTAGAAACAGTTCAGTTTAAACTTACAGGAACTGTATGCTTTAAACTTCAGTAGGAACAATATGCTTAGAGACTATTGGACTTTCAGACTAGACAGAGACTCTATTAGACTCTCAAAACAGAGAGGCTGTGGACTATCTATATCTATAAATCTGTTAAGGGCATCCAACGGGACAGCAAAACTCAAACCCCCCCCCCGACGAAAATTTACCAAAATTCCCATGCACATACCTCAACTCACAAGGTATGCACAAATTGATTCAAAATACTAAACAACATTACAACACACTCACAATTAGACAAAACAACAGAGCATGCACAATGGCGCCCCACCGCAAGTCCCCAGCACGCGCACATGGCCGGCCGGCCAACGGACCTTCCGCGCAAGCCATGCCCCCGATCACGCCACACCACCTCCCTCCCCCGCCCCGCCCCACACGATCACGTTCGCCAATCTTACCTCCGCCACCTCCTTCTTCTTCCCCTCCAAACCCCGCCCCCTCCAAACCCCGCCCCGCCCTGATCCATCCCTCTTCCCCCTCCTTCTTCTTCCCCCACCCACGCCCCCTCCAAGGAAGCCACGCCCCTCCCTGCTTCCTCCAATGAGCGGCCTAGAGGGATGGAGGCCCCGCCCCTTTTCCCTCTCCCGTGACGTCACCGCGCTGTGCGTCGCATCCAAGATGGCGGGTCTGGAGTTTCCTCACTCACCTCAGTGAGAGGGGCAGCACAGGGGGCCCAGGAAGGCAGGTGAGGAAAGGTAGGCCCCTTTGGCCCCTCAGCTGGGCCCAGGGGCGTTGGAAGGGCGCCTCCCCACCCGTCCCTTCAAGGGCCCCCGGGGGGTTTCTGCTGGGAAGGGCCTCCTTGGGTGGGACAAGCTCTTCCAGGCCTTGGAGGGGCGAGGAGGGCCCAGGGCGCCGGGCCACGCCTGGAAGGGGGCTTTAGTTATCTTAACAGAGGATTTTTTGAAACCACTCATTCCATTTACAGCAGAATACATGACTATGGTACTGTGGAATAGTTGGAAGAAGGCCTTAAAAACAAAAGAACCAATGAACGAAACCACACCAAATTTGGCAACAAAACGTCTCACAACACAAGGAGTGACCATCACTCAAAAAATTATGATTTTGTCATTTGGGAGTTGTAGTTGCTGGGATTTATAGTTCACCTACAATCAAAGAGCATTCTGAACTCCATCGATGATGAATTGAACCAAACTTGGCACACAGAACTCCCATGACCAACAGAAAATACTGGAAAGGTTTGGTGGGCATTGACCTTGAGTTTGGGAGTTGTAGTTCACCTACATCCAGACAGCACTGTGGACTCAAACAATGATGGATCCGGACCAAACTTGGCACAAGCACTCAATACGCCCAAATATGAACACAGATGCAGTTGGGAGGAAATAGACCTTGACATTTGGAAGTTGTAGTCACTGGGATTCACAGTTCACCTACACTCAAAGAGCATTCTGAACCCCACCAACGACAGAATTGGGGCAAACTTGCCACACTGAATCCCCATGAACAACAGAAAATACTCAAGTCCATCCAATCCAACCCCCTTCACCAGGGCAAGAAAACGTAATCAAAGCCCTCCTGACAAAGAGCCATCCAGCCATAGATAGAGAAAGATAGATAGATAGAGATATGATTCACACACAGAGAGATACAGTATCATAGATTTGAAAGGGACCCCTAAAGAAGGACAATTATATGTTGCATGTTCCAGAGTAGGCAAACCAGACAATCTCCACATCAACACTGACAAAGAAACAGCAAAAATACTGCTTACACACAAGCATAAAGCAATTATATATATTAGAAACCAACACTTTCTCATTACTTTATTTTCCAGATCAACAGACTGGGCCACAGCAACGCGTGGCAGGGGCAGCTAGTTGATTCTAAGAATGATGCCCTGTGTTGCATACACAGAGAAGCTACTTCAAATCTACTTGTAATTGGATTAATATGCAAAATACCTGTATACTGAGTACATGAAGTTTGTGAGTAAACCAACTACGTTACTTTTAAAGAAGTCTACTTATTTTTGTCTCTTGAGAGCATGTTTTAAAGGCAAATATATTTTAAGGGAGAGTAGATGTTTTTGGGCAACTAAAAAGAACACTTCTGAAAATCTGCTGAATATATACATGTTTGTGCCTTGGCATATCTTTGTCTCTAACTGTTCAAAGACATACCTAGGTATATCAGTTTAACAGCTGAAAGATCTAGCTGCCTTGAATGTATGCTGGTGAATGCAATTTTCCCCAAAAGGTTATGACTCTCTAGCATGTCAAGCTTTTACCCAGAGATTATGGCATCATTTTTCAAAAGGTTGTAACTTCTAACAAGGTCATGCCTTTCCAAAGATCATAGAATCTCCAAAAGGTTTTGGAGATTTCCATTTTCCAAAATTCCAAGTACTTCTTTTTTTAAAAGAGTCATGTGGAAGAGGCAAGTTCAGCAGAGCACCTTGCATATCCCAAACATTATAGTAAACAGCTTTAAAACTTTTTAAATCTTTGACATTTGCTTTTACCCCATAATAATGTTTAGTATGTTTTCACTTACTTCAGTTTTTAAACTGCTCAACTTGTTTTGATGTTATCTGCCCTGAGATCTTTTTCATATAGGATGAATGAAGTATGCATATTAAAATAAACAAATACATGTTACACAGTTGGAATTTTCTTTCCTACATAATTATCAAAAATGCAGCAATCTAGATTTGCCTTGTACCTCACGACTAAGTCCAGAGCTATGGAGACTTCACTGCAGCAACAGTGAGAACATTCCAAAGACGGGAGCTTGGGTCAAGCATTCCTGCAGTGTTTTCCTAGCAAGGGAAAACATATGGGCAATTTCTACAAAACTTATATAAAACAAGTGAATCCTGACAAAGTTAGGACCTATATACTGTACTCTAAAAGTGCCAGGTCCTGTCTGAGCTTGAAAGGTAAGCAGGGTCAGCCCTGGCTAATACTTGGATGGGAGACCACTAACAAATATTGTGGAGCAGCCATATCCATGGGTCTCAGGATCTCACATGGATACAAAAACATGCAGATCTGATGTCTGTGGAACTCTCTGCTCTGGAGTGTGGTAGAGGCTCCTCCTTTGGAGGCTTTTAAGCAGAGGCTGAATGGCCATCTGTCAGGGGTGCTTTGAATGCAATTATCCTGCTTCTTGGCAGGAGGTTGGACTGGATGGCCCATGAGGTCTCTTCCAACTTTATGATTCTGTGAGTTGAAGAACTCAGTGTAACTCTACTGTAGGATATATTTCAGTGGCAAGAAACTGGCAAAATCATCTTGGAGTATTCCTTGCCTAAGAAACAACACAAAATTCATGGCTTTGCCATACACCAGTAGGCAACTTAGATGTATGTATGCCCACTACAAACACACTTGAGAGAGTTAAACCTCTTGTAAACATATCCCTCCTTTGGGGGCCCATTTCTGTTTCAGAACTTTTATCGCAGGTCTCCTACATTAACAGGGGAAAACAAAAAGCGGGGATTTAATTCCCCACCCTCTGTGTACTCTCAGTCATTTCCTTGACCAAAGAAACACAAAACAGACCTTAAGTTTCCTTTGAAGAATTCTCCCAGCAGGGCTCTTTTAGAAAAACAAAGGGGAAAGGAAACATTTCTCTTTTATTCCTCTAACTCCTTCCTGGAGCTTTTTGGCCCACCTTCACATAGCCCTTCTCTCCTTGGGCACAGGGAACAATCCATTAAACTAAATTCTGCCTTGCTGGGAAATCCCAGAAGGATGCAACACAGGCTGTCTAATAAGAACTTCACGGTTTCAACGGATGTTGCCATGAATCTAAAGTCACAATTTTCTGCATCAGGACCTTTTTCATGAAAAACGAATCTGGCCTTTTCCTGCTTGTTTTGCAAAATGACTGAATACCATATTATTTTGAAAAATGAATGAATAGTAAAGGTAAAGGTTTCCCCTGACATTAAGTTCAGTCCTGTCCAACTCTGGGGGGTGGTGCTCGTCTCAATTTCTAAGCCAAAGAGCCAGCATTGTCTATAGACACCTCCAAGGTCATGTGGCTGGCATGATTGCATGGAGCACTGTTACCTTCCCGCAGAAGCTGTACCTATTGATCTACACACATTTGCATGTTTTCGGACTGCTAGGCTGGCAGAAGCTGGGCCTAACAGCGGGAGTTCATTCTGCTCCCCGGATTCGAACCACCAACCTTTCGCTCAGTAAGTTCAGCAGCTGTGCCACCGGGTGGCCACTAAATAAATGTATCTTTCTTTTCTCTCTCAAATGACATCTTTCCAGAGTAACGATGTTTTGAACATCTCAGATGGATGAAAGGAAGTCCTAAATATTTTACACCAGGCCTCCCCAATTGTGTGCTGTCCAGATATGTCAACTATAAAAATTCAGCAAGAGTAGTATAGCTGACAAGTGGTACCAGGAGTTGTAGTTCAACATATCTGGAGAGGATAAGGTTTCAAAATTCCTAAAACTGGCTACTTAGCATAATGGATACTTGATACTAAAGTTGGCTTTAATAAAATGTACTACATCATGGACTCAAAAACACAAAGAAATGAATCCCAGAGCAAATCAAGCTTCAACTCTCCCTGGAAGTCAAGACAACTATACTGTCCTCCTTGGCCAAATCATGAAAAGACACAACTCACTATAAAAGATAATAATGTTTAGTAAGGCAGAATGCCCCTTGGAGCCCCCGGTGGCACAGTGGGTTAAAGCACTGGGCTGCTGAACTTGTTGACTAAAAGGTCGCAGGTTTGAATTCGGGGAGCAGCATGAGCTCCTGCTGTCAGCCCCAGCTTCTGCCAACCTAGCAGTTCACAAACATGCAAATTGAGTAGATCAATAGGTACCGCTCCGGCAGGAAGGTAACGGCACTCCATGCAGTCTTGCCAGCCACATGACCTTGGAAGTGCCTACGGACAACACCGGCTCTTCGTCTTAGAAATGGAGATGAGCACCAACCCCCAGAGTTGGACACAACTGGACTTAATGTCAGGTGAAAACCTTTACCTTTACCTTAAGGTAGTATGCAGTAGGAAAAGAGGAAGACTAGATTTCAGAAAGATGGATTCAATCAAAGAACCCACGGATGCCCTGAGTCTCCAAAATCTGAGCAAGCCCCTTGAGGATAGAGTGACTTGGAGGTCTCCCATTTATGGGGTTAACATAAATTCAACTTGACTTGATGACATTTAATGACAATAATAATCCAACAAAGTTTGCTAAAACAATCAGTTCATATCCATTTCCAATGTGTTTTAAAATGACTCAGCAATACTATGCTGTCTCTTACGATCTATCCAAAACCAACATGAAATGCCTGAGTGAGCTGCCTGAAGCCTACAGAAACTCAGTTAAGTCCACCTGTTACTGTGCCCAGCATTTGGATTTCAGTGCGCTCTACAAGAGCACTTCTCCCTCTTGTATGCAAAATGGCAAATGCATAAACTCAACACATGCACAGTGGGTTGCATGCCAAGGTTTTGTGAGCATCCAATTCGCTTAATTTCCAGAGCTGTCCCACTGGCTTCACTGACCCAAGAGGAAACTTGCCAGCTTAATCTTGAGTCCACTGAGTATGAGGGACCACCTGACTTTGACTCAGTGCCTGTCTGAGCAAAGTGGATGGAAGCCAATGTATAATATAAACAAAAGGGGGGAAATTTGTTCCAGCTTAACTAACTTGGTTGTTCAATGAATACAGATTTATTTCTGTTGCCATGAAAACAAGGCTTAAATCTCCATACTTTGTGACTTGTTAATACTTCAGGATAACAGAGAGGAATTATTCGCCTGAAGTGAGATCTGGAATGTGGACTTAATACAGAATTAAAGTACAAAGGGCTTCTTGGGCAAATAATTAAAAACTCATGGCTGGAATCACAGGGTTGTTGTAAGTTTTTCGGGCTATATGGCCATGTTCTAGAAGCATTCTCTCCTGACATTACACCTGCATCTATGGCAAGCATCCTCAGAGGTTGTGATGTGATCTAGGAGCCACCAGTCTCGCAGTGGGTTAAACCCCTGTGCCAGCAGGACTGAAGACCCACAGGCTGCAGGTTCGAATCCGGGGAGAGGCGGATGAGCTCCCTCTATCAGCTCCAGCTCCTCATGCGGGGACATGAGAGAAGCCTCCCACAAGGATGATAAAAACATAAAATCATCCGGGCATCCTCTGGGCAACGTCCTTGCAGATGGCCAATTCTCTCACACCAGAAGCGACTTGCAGTTTCTCAAGTCACTCCTGACACGACAAAAAAAAAGTCCAAATCTGGGGTGCGGTGCTCATCTCAATTTCTCAGCCAAAGAGCTGGTGTTGTCCATAGACACCTCCAAGGTCATGAGGCCAGCATGACTGCATGGAGTGCAATTACCTTCCCGCAGAAGTGGTACCTATTGATCTACTCACATTTGCATGTTTTCAAACTGCTAGGTTGGCAGAAGATGGGCCTAACAGTGGGAGCTCACCCTACTCCCTGGATTCAAACCACCAACATTTCGGTCAGCAAGTTCAGAAGCTCAGTGGTTTAACCTACAGTGCTACCAGTAAAAAACCAGTGGAAGGTTATTGTTCTGGACAAGGAACACGCCAAGAATCCTGGAGGAACAGAATGAATCGAGCACAGAACAGAAGTTTTCTTCGCACACAGATTGGCACTTGTCCCAAATAGGATAATGTTTCTGTATGTTAGCAAATATTTAATTCTGATTTAGTAGAGGGAGTGTCAAAATGGATAAAGGAAACAAGAGCCAAAGTCCTGTGACAGCTATGAACTCGTGAGGGGCATTAAATAGGTTGTTAATTCTTAACCTCCTTCCAGTGCAAGTGGATTGGGGGCAAGGGGTCAGTTGAGCCTTGAAGAACATTTCCAATCTATTAAAAAAGAAGAACAACATCATTTTTCACACTGGATTTTTCCTGCCACCTGTAAAGTAAATTAGAGTTACATAGTGGCAAAGCCCTTATATGTAGAGTGCTATACAAACATTCATTTTTCACAATCATGAGAATTATAAATGTAATTGTATATAATTTTCTAAAAGTGCTCATTCTCAAAAGCCCCACACTCAATTCTATAATCTATGACAAATTTTAAAAACTGGATTACTTTTGGTGTGAGGATTTCAGGTCCCAACATGAAGCTAATTTCCCGAGAGTGTCAGTCAGGACCCTAGCAGGTTTCTTCTGCTCCCTCGCACAATGAGGGCCCTTTCTATCTTTAGAAACAGAAGCTCCATTTGTCATGGCATAAAAAACAAACAATTTGACAAGAGAAACAAGTAACTGGCTCTGAATGTTCAATGGGACTTTTGATACACATTTATCTAATAGCATCGTATTTTTCCAGCAAAGTACTTTTGAAACTCAAGAGACTTTTCAGAAGCAGATTGTTATATACAGCATTGTAGAGGCCTACTGTTCAAAGTGAGGGCAGGCAAAATTCCCACTGAGCCCTTGAAACTCTGAACTGGGAGCTTACACATGTTTTTAAATGGCTAATAGGTGCTGATACTGCCTACTGATAAGCAAATCCCACAAGGTTCAGGCAAGTAAATACGGGGCGGCAGCCATCAGCATGTCTAATGATGTCTCATTGTTGCTTTACTATTCATCTACCCAAAATCACTTGGTGCTGGCAGGTAACCTCTGAGGATGCCTGCCACAGATGCAGGCAAAACGTCAGGAGAGAATGCTTCTGGAACATGACCATACAGCCCAAAAAACTTACAGCAACCCAGGAAACTAAGCCTTTTTCTCTTAAGATTATCATTTTAAAAAATCAATCACATGATATAAAGTGAAAGGAGAGGCATTCTCCAGCAGCTCCATTACTTTGCAAGTAGTTTCAAGTGCGGAGAGACAAAGTACATCACAAAACACATGTTGGAAGTGACTAAATAGCAAAATTTTAAATGTATTAAAAGTGCAGTAGTGCTCCACAGACACTTTCAAGTTACATTCAAGATAATTCATACAGAATAAAACAGCACAGAAGGGCAACTGGATGGAGGGCCTTCCATTTATAGTGCAGATGACAAGATGCATTCAGTAAATCACAATCAGAACCAGGTGAGAAAAATGCAATTCAAATTATTGTTCTTTTTTTTAAAAAAGTTTGTTTTGTTCCCTCTGGCAAATGATGCAAGAACATGATCCTGGCTGGAAAAATAGATGCCCTCCCCTGAGTTGCTAATTGTGTGATGTCCCTATACATCCCTGCCAATAAGAGTAGTGACTGAATAGGCTGCTGCGCAAGTTTGCTTTCCTGAAATCAAAGAAGAAAGGTCTCCCTCCATACCATAATCTGGCTCAGGCTGGACCGTCTTGATTCTCAGATATTCTCGGAAGAGTGTGACTGAGGGGTCTTCTTTGGGATCCTTCTCCCCTTGTTTTCGGGGGTCCTTCTCTGGCAGCATGTTAGCGTTCCTGGATACACAAAATCAGAGCCTTTTGTAAAATAAGAAAGACAGACAGTAAGCAAGGGCAGAGAGAAAATGAGAAAAGGAAAATATCACTTTTCCTTACAAGTACAGGCAGTCCCCAAGTTACAAACTTTCAACTTACAAATGACTCATAGTTAAGAACGGAGGTGAGACAACAGGAAATGAGAGAAATCTACCCGTCAGAAGTGAAAGTCACTCCCAAAAGAGTTGTCATAGGAAAAAGGGGTCTCCACTAAAGTTTCATCACAAATCCTTGTTTCCGTAACAAGCTAAATTTTTCAAAATCCAATTATCATAGGAACATAAAGTGAGATGAAATTTTCCGTACAGAGGCATAGGCAGCAAAACAAATCCCACAGGTTCATTAACCCTTCCCTAAGCTATGCACAGGAGCCCCTGGAGGCACAATGTGCCGGCAGAATGCTGACTGACAGATCAGCGATTTGAATCCAGGGAGAGCAAGTTGAGCTCCCTCTGTCAGCTTCAGCTTCCCATGCGGGGACATGAGAGAAGCCTCCCACAAGGATGGTGAAACGACAAACATCCGGGAGTCTCCTGGGCAGCGTCCTTGCTGATGTCCAATTCTCTCACACCAGATGCAACTTGCAGTTTCTCAAGTCGCTCCTGACACAGGGGAACAAAAGCTAAAAAGTATGTATTTTGGATAGAGTTATACTTTTAAAAAATACCTGTTCCAACTTACAAATTCAACTTAAGAACAAACCTACAGTGCCTACCTTGTTTGTAACCTGGGGACTGCCTACCAAAATGGAACTGTGTTCCTACAGGTACTAAATTACTTGAACCACACTTAATTCCTGTTCAATTCTCACTTCACCTGGGGCTGCAGCAGTAAGAGGAAATTGCCATCTTGTTACCAGGTAGAACAGATAATTGATTCATAATTTGAAAATGTACCTGGATAGCACAAACTCTAATAATAAAAATGTCCTGAACATATCTCTCTAAGGCAGGCACGGGAAAACTTTTTAACTTGGGGGCCGCATGGCGGGACGTAGCAGGGTGGGTGGGCTGGGAGGGTGCATGTTGATGGTGGATGGGAGAGAAAAAGTGTGCCCATGGGACCCTGTATTACTTTCTCCTGATATAGAAACCTAGAATCCTAGAGTTGGAAGAGACCTCCAAGGGCCATCCATTTCATCCCCCTGCCACGCAGGAAGGCACAATCAAAGCACTCCCGATAGACAGCCTCTGTGGAAAAGCCTCCAGAGGAGACTCCATCACACTCCATGGCAGCTTGTGCCACGCTCAAGGAAGCATGTCCTAATCTTTTTAGTCGAATTTCTTTCCCTGCCATTTGAACCCATTGCTCCCTTGTGCCATTGTCTCTAAAGCAGCAGAAAGAAAAAAGAGGGAGAGAGGGAAGGAGGGAGAAAGTGGGAAGGAAGGATGAAAGGTTGGAAGGGAAGGAAGGAGCAAAGGAGAAAGAGGGAGTTAAGGGAGGAAGGATGGCAGGAGGAAGGAAAGAAGGAAGGAAGGAATGAAGGAAGGACTGGATGGTGTGAGAGAGGAAGGCCTGAGAAAAGAGCCCAAGGGGCCACATCTGGCCCCCAGTCCTGGGTTTACCCATACCTGCTCTAAGGCATACATTCAACATTATCTATGAAGTTCAATGCTAGAAGAAATCATAATTTCTGCACCTCAAAGCAAAAGGATTGAGACCAGGGCTTTCTTTCTACTCCATAGCACCTAGGACTATGATCACAACATTAATTCAAGAAATAATGAAATTATTTCCCCAGAAACAGCTTCCTGGTGAATTCAAGTAGTGCTGAAAACAAGCAACTGATACAGCTTTGAAATCAGTGCTAACTATTGGAAGTTCATCATAACAAAAGGTGGATGGATTTTTGGAATACCTAAAAGACTGGAAAGCTAACTCAGTGTGGCAGAACAGTTGCCATTTTTTGGACACAATTTATATGTCTTATATATGTGCTGTATTGGGGGGGGGGGGGTAATACAGTCTAATATCTAAACTCAAAACAGAAAATATGTTGGCACAGTTTTGTTCTGCGGAAGAGGAAATCTGAACCTGCTATATTAGTGCCTGTCATGTTAAAGGCACAGCACGCAGATCAACACGTAGCTGATCTAACTTGGAACAGATGGAGTCAAAACTCCTGTTGAGAGAACTCATGTAAAGCTCCAGACACCATGCTCTCAAGTAAAAAAAAAACCCAACATTATATGATACTATAAAATCAATAGCAATATTTTAGAAATCATTATAGAAACTTGAGTTAAGGGAGATAGGCAGGACAAATGGCACGGCCAAGGTCTGAGAAACCAAGGTTAATATCTCTGCTCAACCCCTAGGTGACTTTGGGTGAGTCGAACTCTCTCATCCTTAGACAAAGGCAATGGAAACTCCCTCTGAACAAATATTGGCACTCTCGCTGAACCAATTTTGACAAGCAAAGCCTGTGATAAGTTTATCTTGGGACCACTATAAGTTGGAAATGAAGGCCCACAGAAGAAGAGGAAGAGGAGGTGGCATGAGTAGGGTGAGAACCATAGAAACATAGAGTTGGAAGAGACCTCGTGGGACATCCAGTCCAACCCCCTGCCAAGAAGCAGGAAAATCGCATTCAAGCACCCCCGACAGATGGCCATCCAACCTCTGTTTAAAAGCCTCCAAAGAAGGAGCCTCCTTCACCACACTCCAGGGCAGAGAGTTCCACTGCTGAACAGCTCTCACAGTTAGGAAGTTCTTCCTCGTGTTCAGGTGGAATCTCCTTTCCTGTAGTTTGAAGCCACTGTTCCATGACCTAGTCTCCAGGGCAGCAGAAAATAAGCCTGCTCCCTCTTCCCTATGACTTACCCTCACATATTTATACATGGCCCTCATCATGTCTCCTCTCAGCCTTCTCTTCTACAGGCTAAACATGCCCAGCTGTTTAAGCTGCTCCTCATAGGGCTTGTTCTCCAAACCCTTGATCATTTTAGTCACCCTCCTGTGGACACATTCCAGCTTGTCAACATCTCCCATCAACTGTGGTGCCCAGAATGGGACACCGTATTCCAGGTGTGGTCTGACCAAGGCAGAACAGAGGGAGAGCATGACCTCCCTGGATCTAGACAGGCCAAAATCCCATTGGCTTTTTATGCTGCCACATCACATTGTTGACTCATGTTTAACTTGTTGTCTGCAAGGAGTCCAAGATCCTTTTCTCACGTACTGCTGTCGTGTCACGCGTCCCCCATTCTGTATCTTTGCATTTCATTTTTTTCTGCCTAAGTGGAATATCTTGCCTTTGTCCCTGTTGAACTTATTTTGTTAGTTTTGGCCCATCTCTCTAATCTGTTAAGATCATTTTGAATTCTGGTCCTGTCTTCTGGAGTATTGGCTATGCCTTCCAATTTGGTGTCGTCTGCAAACTTGATGATCATGCCAAGAGGATGAGCACAATTTGTGCAATAGGAGAGAGAAGAAAGAAGGTGAAGACTGGAATTAATTTAGCTAAAGAAACATATTGAGGGAGTGGTTTCTTCAAAGGTGTTGGAAGAAAGCCTACCTTTCATGAGGAGAAATTGGCATGACCTATGGGTGCGGGCAGTAAGAGTGATGGGATTGTGCCACAGGCTGCCTGCCACAAGGGAGAGCTCAGTTATCTTTGGGCAGGTAAATTATGGGTGGCTCCCTTTTGTGAATGTAATCCTTAAAGCCAGACTAAGGAAGCAATGGTTAAAGGGCCTTGAGAAAGAAAGAAGCTCTAGCCTGGAGAAAAAGTTTCAGCAAAATAAAAAGAGAAGGGTTTAGCTATGGCGTTGTAGAAGCAGCATTTCTTAGGGGACAGTGTTAGCCGGAAACGGGCAGAGTGGACAAGAAGGTCTATGACACTGGGGCACCTACACCAGTGCTTCCCAAACTCTGGTCTTCCAGGTGTTTTGGACTTGAGCTTCCAGAATCCCTAGTCATTAGCCAAGATAAAGGAGGCTCCTGGAAGTTGAAGTCCAAAACACCTGCAGGACGGAAGTTTGGGACTCTGTAGAAAGGAGCCCCAGTGGAACAATGTGCTGCCAGGACTGAAGACCAGCAGGTTGGAGGTTTGAATCCAGGGAGAGCACGGATGAGCTCCCTCTGTCAGCTCCAGCTCCCCATGTGGGGACATGAGTGAAACCTCCCACAAGGATGGAAAAACAACAAAACATCCAGGCGTCCCCTGGGCAATGTCCTTGCAGACGGTCAGTTCTCTCACACTAGAAGTGACTTGCAACTTTTCAAGTCGCTCCTGACACAGCAAAAAAAAAAAAAACCCTGGAGAAATTACACTATGTAACATGACTTTAGTAACTGGGTTATAAATGTAATTTCCTAACTGGTTCTGTCATTAAAACACGAGAAAAGTTTATTAAGGTGTCAAAACTTGGTTTTTGTGGGACATCCTGTAGCACATTTTGCTATAGCATATTCTGAATTGGTCAAGACTCAATAGCCATCACCAATTCAATAGTTTGTGGCAGCCACAAAAACGAAGTTTCTGGAGTACAACAACTACTTTCAAAGTAAGTACCACACAATTAAACAGGAAATTAGTCTTTCCAAATAGGAACAGAATTTTTTTCTCATTTTGTTATATAGTGTTATTATTGTTATGCTACTTTTCCTTTCTTAAAAGACACTCAAAGTGGCTAAAACAATACAATGTACCAAACCTAAAGTACGTACATAAACACTAAAATAGAATTAAACACAGAACTATTTAAAAAACAAACCCCTTAAAAACCTATTAAAACGGTTAGACAATATCCCCTGGCTGGGTCTTACTTTAAATCCRGTTTCTGCCTCCTGCAGAATTCTGGGGTTTGTAGTTTAGGGAAGAGCCTTTCACAGCCTCACTAAACTACAAACCCCAGAATTCTGCAGAAGGCAGAAAAAGGACTTAAAAGTGGATTCATTCTCTAGTGTGATTAGAAAGGTTCTTCTTTAATATATATAAAGCAGGCCTGGGCAAACTTGGGCCCTCCTGGTGTTTTGGACTTCAACTCCCACAATTCTTAACAGCTGGTAGGCTGTTAGGAATTGTGGGAGTTGATGTCCAAAACACCTGGAGGGCCCAAGTTTGCCCAGGCCTGATATAAAGGGTTTAGTGTGCAGCTGAGGATCCCACAGGGCACTTCAAGTGGCGTGAAAGTGCATTCATTCTGCAGTGTAGATGGATGCACCCAGGCCTGGACCCTGGTCAACAGGGTGGATTGTAAAGGAAGGGGACAAGCCAGGGCGGAGGGAGGGTGGAGAGGCTCAAGGATTGCATTGTGGTG